CAACTACTTCAACATTAACTGAATGGATGAATGCTATGCATGACCTGGAGGTATTAAAAGATTTCATTTAACAGCATTAACCAAATAGACATCTCTGCTCAAGTTTGGCTTCCTTTTATAGATGCATGTGACTTAACAACCCTGTTAAAAATCCATACTTCCATTATATTTTCAGCCTAGTATGTAATATACATCCACATATATTACATTTTCAGGCAGCAACCTATATTGAGTATCTATCTACTAATCAATTTTGAATGAATTCATACCAGCACCCTTATCCTTTTCAGTGTTCAGGTAGTTTTGACAGAGCCAAAGTAACCAGTTCTGATACAGTTAACTTTTGTTGCAGAGAACATGGTGAGAAAGCAATAGCAAGCATCTTTCACCTTGATGCTTGATGAGAGATACTGCAGATTTATCAAATGTGCTACTGCCCATGACTGCATCCTAGGACTTTATAAATTCATAGATTCCATAGCAAAGGAAAAACACAAAGGAAAAAAAAAAAAAGCTGTTAATTCCCAGTGTGTTAGCTGGTATGTGTTGGGCCAATGAGACACATATGCACAGGGCTGCATGGTGATGAAAGATTAGGTGCTCCCAGGAAAGCCACTCACACTCCCACCCCAGCCTTTTTAAGCATCAGGCTTAACAGCAGAGAGCTCAGGTAAAGCTGGGTGGGAGTGCAGCCTTCCACTTAAACAGATTTTCTGAGTTCACTTTATTGAGCCTTGCACTGAAAGAAATTAATTTCCAATAACAGGTAATATCAATAAAAGATTATTATAGAGCAGTGTGTCAGGAAAGATGCTGGCAACATTAGTTAAGACTAATGCTGTCAAGACAACCAAAGAAATAAGAGGTGCTTAATACTCAGACAATATTACTCAAAAATATATAAATCATATTAAACCTCTCCAGGGTAATTACAGGTTGAGAACGTAATGGAGATGTAGGCAGGGGACATCTTCGATGTTCTGTCAAAGTTTTCTTTGTATGCATATGTGTGTATATATGTACGCATACATCTGTAGTATTTTTATTTATATAAGTATGAACATATGTAGCATGCAGAGAGAGAGATAGTCTCTCTGAGTATACTGCTTTAAAATAACCTAAACAGCAGAAAGACCAGTTATGCAAACAAGGCCAGATTGTCACCATAATGTTTTGCAGTCCTCTGAGGACAGCGAAGGCAATGGTTGGTATGCCAGCTGCTAGGCCTATGTCGTGGTTTAGGCTGATCCGGCAACTAAACTCCACGCAGCTGGTCTCTCACTCCAGTAAAGTGGAGAGGAGAAAAATATAATAAAAGGACTGAGGGTCGAGACAAGAACAGAAGGAGCACCCACCAACCACGGTCCTGGGCAAAACAGACTCGGCTTTCTGAAAGCAAAACAATTTATTAACAGTTACTTAAAGACAAGCAAAACCAGTTGCTTGAAAGGATAAAAAGAAAACAAGGCCAGATCCTGAAACAACACCTCTCCACCCCCCTTTGCCTTTTCTTCCCGGCTCAACCTCCTCCCCCCAGCGTCACAGGGGGACAGGGAATGGGGGAGTGCAGTTCAGTTCATTCCATGTTGTTACTGCCGCTTCCCTTAAAGGAGAAGGAGTCCTTATACCATTTTCCCGTGCTCCAGTGGATCCCCTACTCACGAGGAAAACCACGAACTTCTCCAGCGTGAGTCCTACCTGCAGGAAGCAATCCTTCCCCATAGGATTGCTCCAGTGCGGGCTTTACCACAGTCTCGGATTCTTAGGGAGTTGTTGCCACTCACTCGTGGGTCGTCATATAGACTTTAAATGCATCAATGCATAAACACATCTCTACCTGTGCCCATGCTTCACAACTGTTCTCGGGCTCAGGCATTTCCTCTAAACAAAACACCTCCCCATCGACAGGGGTTTTCCCATGGACTTTAGATGCGTACAGTCCTCAGGCTCAGGCATCTTTTCTCGACGTGGGTTTTCCACGGGCTGTGAGTGGGTCTCTGCTCCCCCGGGACCGCCTTGCTGCAAGGGGGCCGCTTGCCGTCTTGCCACCGCTGGCAAGGGAAGCTCAGCTCGGGCACACCTCATCCCGTTCTATCTTCACTGACCTGGTGTCTGTGTGTCCGTTTCTCTCAGATCTCAGTCCTCTCTGGGTGAACTCAGCCCAGTGGGCGCCCAAGTTCCCCAAGTGGCTCTGCCATCCTCAGCAGGTGGCATCGGCATGGCGAGAGCCGCCACCCAGCTGGGCGCTGGGGAGTGAGGGCAGCACCTCCCTCCCCTCTCCTCGCTCCTGGGCAAAGGGCACACCTTTCCGATTCCTTTGTCCCGACGTAAATAGGGCAATTCACAGAGGCACCGATTGGCTCAAGCCCCAAGGGGGATGGGAGTCCAATCTGGTGGGCACCTCCTGCCACCAGAACCTTCTCCGCCCCCATCAAAACCATGACAATCTAAGACTCAGTACTTTCTGCTTTAACAACTGGTTGAAATTATAGATAAGAAAATGGATCACAAAATTGATTTTATAAAACCATAATATTGAGAGATTAGAGTCATAATTCTTTGAATAAAATCTATTTCCTCTGGAAGAGAAACAAAAGACTTATGACAAAGTACTCAGTGCAATATCCTTTTTTCTGCCTTTATATCATCTCTGAACAGCATTGACACTTTAATACAAGTTTTGAAGTAGTAACATCTAAATGGGAAATCACATGGGAGGACTACACTGTATTGTTACTGAGATGTAAAGAGTCCCTTGTTTTAATTTACTCTCCATTAGAAGAATGATGCTTAGAACATATCTGTGTGGTTGACTAAAGGTACCCTCAAATTTCTGCTGGCAAACAGAAAACCTACCGTAGGAGAAAGAAGCTTTTCTGGTGGCTACTATCCCTTCCAGAACAAACATTTTGAAACTAAGCTAACTAAACCCACAGGAAACCATAAATTAGCTTTTTTTCTTTGAAGATTACTCTGATAAAAGTAAGAGGAATAAAGGCTCTTCTGTGACTGACTACAAAAGTCAGAGAAAAGGGTGCACCCACACTATTCCTAGAGGCGAACTAATGCTGTTCTCAGGCTTGGCTGAGCAGTCAAGAAGTGAGAGGGGAGAAGAAACTGAATTACCCTGTCACATCAGGAGGGTAGCTAGCTAATCCTGTGCTAACTGAGCTTCTGAACTACATCTGAAAGGGCAGGATGGGGTGAGCCTGTACTGCCAGTTGATATTCTGTACATGCTGTGCATTTCCGTGCAGACTCTTAGTTCCCAGTACTATGTCTGGCAGCTTTTAAAGCACTAAATTTACCAAAAATTAAAAATAGTTTTACTGCTTAAACATTCTCTTTTATAACAGAAAGCTGTCAAAACCTCCCCTGCCCAACAACACAATCATAGATGTTACATCAAACAGGCTGGTTTTTTTTCATAAGATGCTCTTTGCAGGAGAATGTGTGAAGAGGTAAGGGCACAAATGGATCCAATTGAGTTCAGACGCATTTCTGATGAGTGAAAAAAACAGCTGAAGGCTGAAAAAATTTTTCTATGCCACAAATGGGGATTTATAGGGATTAAAGTCACATGCTTAGGATCTGGAAAAGTATTTGCTTTGTATTATTATAACCATTTTTATGGATTAATTAAAGGAATGGTGATGTGAGGAATTGCTTTTGATTTAATACATAAATACATTACATGAATCTAGCTCTGGTTTGGGAGTTATGGGCCAAAAGAGTCTCATTAATACCCATGGATAACTGACTTTGGGCCGCTTGAATTCAGGAGGATGGTTCAGCATGATGGGTGGGCAGACAATTTTTTAATGTAGTGCTGTGAGAGATGCACATGGAAAATTCCAGGCTGATTTACATCCTTTATAATACTGCAAAAGACAATAAGATTGTTTGCAAGTGAGTTTTGCCTTTAGCGCCATTTGTTTTACTCAACATTTATTATTTCTAGTCTTCTGTCAGAAATACCAGTGACTTCTAAACGATTCACATATCTGCAAGGTGGCTCCTGACCCCCGTGCACCCAGAAGTGTGATCAGCCAGAAGACTCTAATACCCTGGGAACTTGAATGCACACAATACATGAGAACTTTAACTGTGTAATGCATGTAAGCACCAGTAGAAACACAGGAGAAAAAGGTACATCTACGGAACCCTGTTACATATTGTTACTTCTTAGATTAGCATATATGATCTGTTCATCAGAGGTTCAGAAATGCTCATTCCTGAACTTTGCAAACAATTTTCTTCAAATTCTGAAGTGTTTATGTGAATTAATTATATTTTCTTTCCATAACACCAACTGAAATATGGATTTTCCTAAAATTGGAGGAAAACTAGGATGCAGGAAGCAGACATAGAATGATAATAGGTATATATGGGTAGAATATACCTACCATATGTAGATCTGATAAAGTTGATACAAAATCAATGGCAAAAAATTAGCATCTATGATATTTTCCAAAAAATCCAATACCTTGTTGTTCAAAAGTAGCTGTTATTTTATATTATGTTCTACATGCAAGGCAAAAGGTATTCCACCCTGAGAAAATTACAAGACATAGATTTTAACTTCAGAAACATATGTTTTTTTTAAAAAATGAACTACTTTTCTGCCCTTGAAACAGCATGGTCATATGGCTTCTGCATCCAAAAGAGAGACCTGGATATCTGAGGAAGTGATCCTTCCCCTCCCTCTAGTTTATAAGCAATTCCACATTTAAATTTATCAAATTCAGTGTGAATATTGGTATTGGGACCCTATCTAAAACTATAAACAGTGATCTTTCACTAAATGACTTAAAAGAAATTGTAGTGAAGATTAAAACAATGAACATTTTACATTTTATTTTAATGAAAAATAGCATGTTGAAGTCAAAAATATGGAATGTTAAAATTGTCTTCTACTTGAGTGAATTTTAGGAACCTCCCACTATCAATGAAGAAGGAAGATAGATTACTGTAACAAGCACGGACATTTATCAGGTTTACCTGTTTGTGAGCATGGTCGTAAGAATTGATGTGGTTGTCAAATTCCTGGTGTTTGTGGTACTGCTTGTCACATAGTTCACAGTAGAAGTTAGCCTTCACATCCTCCAGAGCCTTGGCTGAAGCTTTCTCCTTCTCAGCATAGTCCTGCAAAGGCAGAAGCAGACAAAGACACTGCTACAGCTCGTGAGCTCATGCTTCAGCAGCTATTTTTGTCATCCACGTTAAAAACACTGGACTGACTAGGACTGCTAAATCACCGGGCTCCATCCTAGTGTCAAAGTGCACGACGGTGAGGAGGTTTTGGTCTAAGTTTAATAGAATGGTTGTATTTCTTGAATAGTTATTCTTACTACTTGTTGTAAGTGCTGTAGTAAGAAGAGAGGAATGGGATATAGAGGAATACTTCCCAGCTCCTGGGCAGCAGAGCTGAGCAGTGTAGAAGACATAAGCCATCAAGTGCGTGTATGGAGGGTTAGTCTGTTAACTGCTACAGCTTGCACCAACATATGTCTGCTCTTTCAGGTATCATTGATCAGAAGAAAGAAATTAATTTTAGTCTGATACTAAGGCGGATTTTCTTTTGCGTTCTGCTTTCTAACTTCTATGAAATATTCAGCAGGGCCAGCCAGCAGCTGGCTATGGCTGGCTGAGATTTCCCTGGAGCAGAACCACCTCAGCAGGAGCCTCTTCTGTGCCACCCTGTCCCTTCTCCACGTCGGCGTGGGGGGACACGCCCTCCAGTCCACCCAAACTGCGTGTAACTGGCACCTGCCTGGCACAGACCACAACCACTGACAAGGGCACTAGCTCATGTCCAGGCTCAGGCAAACTCAGCTGAAAAGAGGGAAAACACGGTCCCCCTCCCTGGTGACTTGGTTGCTCTGGAGAGTCAAGTACTTTGATTTCAATATATAATATTAGGTAAAAAGAGAGTTTTTTCTTAACACATGGGAGTCAAAAGTTACTGAGCTCCAAATAATGCACTTAAATAAGGGACCTGATACTCAAAATTGTCAGCAGCCTTTGCCGACCTTTTTTCTTTTACAAGTCCTTTGTTATATTATTATTATCACGACACTTTCTTAAACGTTTTACATTAGAGTTTAGAGAGCAAACTTCTGACATGAAAACATGAACAAAAAAGTTGGTAAAAGCAATTCATTTTATATTCGTATCGACAAGTTGATATTACTTGAGCGTATGTAATATATTGCCAGGGATTGCAGTAATTCATCATTTGCTGTATCATTTTACTCACCTAAAAAAATAGGTACTTTCTGCCATGAGGCTTTACATGCTATGTGGTCAGTGCTGTCTGCTGGCTGTATGCTTTCACCACCCTTTGCGTGACGAACTCAGAGTGCACTGAACCCAGAATATACTGCACGCTGGGGACACCCTTCTCTTAGCACATCACACTGCCCGGCATTGCTCCAGGGACCACGCCAGGGTGGAGGCAAGCCTTTGGGCACAGCAGATCAACACAAATGCACATTTCGAGCCTTTCAGAGGGAGAAGGACTTACTAGTGAGTGTCACGTGTTTTGAGTTTGAGACTTGACCAAGTGGTCGGTGCGATGGTTGTCAATGTGACACACTGAGCTTTGGACAGCTCTGTGCTGTGAGTCCTTCTGCTCTGCCCTGGTCTTTACACGCTCAGCTTGGCGTGAGTAGGTCTGTCTCACATGGTAGTTTAGAGGCTGCCATTGCTAGTGAGATTAACTTCACCTAAACTAGACAGTCTAGAAGTTAAATGTATGGTCTAAGGCAGTATCTTAAGCTTCCTATGTAAGAAATAGAAAAATGATATTCGCTGCCAAAAGGTTATTAATTCCATCTATTTCAAAAACCCATTTTAGAATGAGATGAAGCTCTCCAGAGGTGCTCTCTCTCTCTGTCAGCCACTGCAAGGCTCTAAATTACTAACCTGGCCTACATGCTTAATTCTTAGATTGTTGAACTCAGAGATAATTAATTCTATATTGTATTTCTCTATATTCAGTTCTAAATCTCCCCATGAAACTTTCATGAACTGACCTGCTTGAAGACAGGAGGTCAAAGAGGAATTTTGTGCCTGGAATTTTGATTTTACATCTTACAGATGATGCCAATGACATGTCAGTCCCTCTCACAGGGCAAACATCCAAATAAATCTCTTTCCTGCATGCATATGGCTCAGGTGGGTTGATATACTGTGGTATACTCAGACTGGCCAATTGTGAAAATAGGTAGCCTGAGCTAACATTTCTCCACTTGAGAGGCTGCTCAATAATGGTGCTTGATTATATCGACGGAAATATTCTCACAATCAAATAGTTAAATAGCTTTCATTAGTCATTTAAATTTAAAAAGCCCATTAAAAAGTGATACTTTTCAGCTTATGCTTCAGACCTATTGTTTTGCTAGCATTAATTATTAATCGGGCCTTTGGTATAATTAAAATGCATAAATTAGAATGTGGATGCAATAGCATTAATTATGCAGAGATGTCTTCCCTGGAAGTCAAGTGTTGGGGGCAACATATTTTTATTCTAAACTGGCAAAAATGTAAGTTTTGCACTCACTGGCAGCCAGCCAAAGCATAAATGTTTTTGTTGTTGTTGTTGTTTTGTTTCGTTTTCGTTTTTTCCCAGGTCTGAACTGTCAATTAAATGTTTACAGCCTGCTCCATCGTTGCTTCTTCTGAAGGAGATGCCTAATTGTTTGGGGTGAACACACCACATTACTCTCTGTGAAGCAGAACTGAAACTGCTGCTCGTGAGCATTCCAACTGCCAACTTTATCTTTCTCAGCAGAAATTAATACAGATCCCATAGCATAAAGATGTTTTAAAATAGCAACAAGGCAGCTCCCAGGTGCATCCTAAGATAATCACAACTACCTCCATTGCCTTATTGCTTAATTATGCTTGTCTGCCATAGCAAAAGATATAATTTCCTGCTTGCTTATCGATCAGATGCAGGGAAATTGAATGCTACATCACATACTTTAGAAAGGTCACGGATTTTTCTTTCTCTACAAAGGCATAAGGACTTCTAGCACTACGGTAAATTGTGCATAGTCAAATGAATTTTCACATCGAGACTGCTAATATAATCTGTCTAGGACTATAGAGACTGGTGGCCAATTCTGGCATAATAAATACATTCATGTGAAAGAAAATCTCTAGAATTACATCTGTACAAAACATATGTGATCATGAACACCTGACTACATCAATACAGACACAGGAAAACAGGAAAGATGTACTAGTGTATTTTGAATTGGGGACCACCACTGGTAATGAACATGTGTGTTACAGTCTTGTAAACTTTATTTTGGATCATACTCTACTTACTGATGATGTACAGCCTGGGTAAACATAAGTATACTTATAAAATAACATAAGTTTGCAGTTCTGTCTTTGAGCCGTGGACAACAGCAAGCACAAGCTGATGTCAGGAGTGATGCAGTCGTTGTAGGTAAGAACTCCTAGAAACCATGGGTTAATCACCTTCTATGTTGCTGGTTGCAACACAGTATACGAATATATTATATACAAGGATAGCTGTATCATTGTATAAGCATAAATGAGTGCAGAATATACCTGAATGCATTTTTTTCCTAGAAGACTGAAAAATGGTTCCATATTATAACTTGTGATTACATTCACATCAATTTGGCCTACAGAGGCACATAACTGTAATGAATGTTTATGTATTGGATTAATTTAAAAAGAATATTTCTATTGTGCCTTAAGCTAGAAGTGCTTTCACTTAGTAGCTACTTTTGCAATATGCTTCTTATTGTGAAAATGCAATTAATGGTATCTGACATTTCATTTTCTAATATAATCAATGAAAATTCCCATGTAACTGAGTTTTCTAGAATGTTGCCACTGACACCTAGTCAATTAGAAATCATTTATTAAATCCAGAATCTGTAGGAGATATTTAATATACTGCATGGCCATTAAAGTATGCTGATCTAGACAAAACAATACCACATTACCTGCCTCAGTAATTGATAGTAAATATATCTGCTACGTTCAAAGGGACTGAGGGGAAAAGAAGGTCAGTTGATACAGTAAAACTTTCAGAGGCAATTTTTTATAAACCTATGGATTTCTACAACTATGGTAAAGTAATTCCATAGTGCTTGTAAATAGAACATGAGAAAAATATTAACATCATTAGCCCACTATTTGTCACCTATTTCTAAATTGGAATGCAGAATTAATGACAGAAGAGCTAACTCACATTAATGCAGAGCTCAGTAAGTGACAGACTGCTCCCTCTTTGGGGACATAAGCAATCAGAGTTGTTAGAGTTTGATAACTTAAATATAATTCTGTGAATCAGATTAGGTATGAGCGCAAGTATTAAATATTGATGCAAATACTGAGGTGCCTCTTTTCTCAGAGATTCTCAGACTAGAGGTTAAAGGATAAGTAGGACAAATATAAGCACATGAATAAACTGCAGAATTATATTCTACATCTGAGAATTTTAAGCACATTTTCATTAGTGACTCAGATGACAAAATGAACTGTGATACTGTACAAAATCTATGAATGATACTAATTAACAGCACAGGGTATACAAATACTTTAGGGACGAGGATCAGGATTCAGAATTACTGTAATAATCTTGAGATACGGTCCAAAATCAGCAAGATAAAATTAAGTTGTGTGTCAAGTGCTGCAATTTGGCTGGGAAAATCACATTCACCAATACTAGGTTGTGAACAGCTGAGTAAACAGAAATGTAAGGAAGAAGGTCCAGGAGGTTAGAGTAGAAGAGAAATTAAATGAAAGTCAACAATGAAAGTCAAGGCAAATCACATTCTGACATGTTACTAGCAGTGTTATATGTAAGATGCTGAGGGTAATGATTCCTCTTGATTCAGTATTGGTGAAATGTCAGCTGTAAAATACTATTGGGTACATCTACACCAGCAAATAACTTGGCTCCTGGAACCTGGCCCTCCATCATTCCTCACTCTATGTATGATAGTTCATTCTCAGGCTTCCTTTCAGAGTAAATTTGCTAGTTCCCTTTGAGATAAAACTGAACGTAGTTCTGCAATAACATTCTGTTCAGGGACCACACTCTACAGGTAGCAAGGATGAGGCTTCATCAGGCTCTCCATGCCCTGTATAGTCCT